GCGAAGCCATTTTGCAATCAATCATATCATATCTACTGTAACTGCCAGACCGTTGCTGTTTACAATGTGGAAGATAATGCTGAGCCTTGTCTTGAATCCGTCCAGCAATCCATCACTGTAGATAAACTGCTTGTGGCCCAGCCCCTCCAAGGCAACTTCACTATCTTGCAGGAGTGCTTCTGAGATGGAAACACTCTCTGCCTGATCAGCTCAGTAGCACAGCTGCTTCACAATGGCTCCGAGACTCTGGGATATGCATCTGTTCTAACGTTGAACCACAGAAGATAGATGCAGGAGCGGGCTATTCGACCCCTTGAACCTGCTCCTCCATTGCACGTGACCGTGGCTGATCGTTGAGCTCAATACCCTAATTCCCCACCCTCTCCCGTATCCCTTGATCCCTTTAGCTCCAAGAGCTGCTTGAAAACAATGTTTTGGCCTCAACCACTTTCTTGAATTCCCCAGGCTCACCACTCTCTGGGTGAAGAAATTTCTCCTCATCTCAGTCCTGAAAGTTTTACCTCTTGTTCTTAAACTATGACCAGGTTCTGAACTCTTCCACCATCAGAAATATCCTTTCTGCATCTAACATGTCTAGCCCTTCTGGTTTTTCACAGAAACATGCAAAGTTCTCTCTCATTGTTGGAAATTCCAGTGAATACAATCCCAACTGACTCAATCTTATTCGTACGTCAGTCCTGCCATTCCAGGAATCAATTTTGGTAAATGTTTGCTGCACTCCTTCTATAGGAATAACATCCTTCCTCCGATAAGAAAACCAAAATTGCACAAAATATTCCAAGTGTGGCCTCATCAGTGACTTGTATAATGGTAGTAAGACATCCTTGTTCCTGTACTTGAATCCCTTGACTATGAAGGCCAACATACAATTTGCCTTCTGTACTGCCTACTGCATCTGCGCACTTACTTTCAGTGGCTGGTGCATGAGGACACCCAGCTCTTATTGTAAGTTCCCCACTCTCAATTTACAGCCATTCAAATAATAATGAACTGCTACGAAAGTGGATAACCTCACATTTATTCACATTATACTGCATTTGCCTACTTACTCAGCCTGTCCATATCACACTGCAACATCTCTGCATCTTCCTCACAGCTCATCTTTCCAGTCAACTTTGTGTCATCTGCGAATTGAGATATTGCACTTAGTTCCCGCATCAAAATTGTTAACATATAACTGGAGTCCTAGTAGCAATGCCTGAGGTACCCCGCTAGTTGTGGCCTCCTATTCAGAAAAGACCCATTTATTTCTACACTCTGTTTCCTGCCAGCTAACACATTTTCTACCCACCTCCATACGCTGCTCCTAATCCCATAACCTTAATTTTACATATTAATCTCATCCCCTTCCTTGCTGGAGTGAATGACTGCTTGTGGATCTGTTGCAAGATGTTGCCTTGTGCTTCAGAATGGTTAATAAACTCAATGGTAGAATCTCCTATGCTTTAGCAACACGAACTTTTAACTTTTTTTTGCTGTAAAGATTTCCAGTGAATCAATTTAATCTTCTCTCTGACCGTATTCTTAAACTTCTCACGGGTTGAGCTATACTTGCAGAGTTTGAACCTCCTTTTGGAGAGATCTTGATGTCAAATGGCAGTTTACCTAGAGTGTTGTAAGTTTGTGCTCTAACGTGGCCTAATCCCTTCTGATGGTTTGGCACCTTGAAATGACTATCTTGCATGATTTTGGCTAATTTAGAGTTAAGAGTCCAGAACGTGGGTTTATCATGGGCATTATTCTATTACATTTGCTGTTCTGCAGGCAGGGATGGCTGGCACTTTGAATGTAACTGGAATTTCAGGTAGTTTTGAATTCAACCTGATTGCAATTTCTCTGTATATTAGTGCAAATGGTGGATTGGCTAATGGAATGAAAATAAGAGGTTGGAGAAACATGGGACAGATTTTGGTTTGGCAGATCTCTTGACCTCCCTGAATGTGCCATCTCCTCTGTCTATTTGTTTAACATGGTTGAAAAGTCTGAGCTGATGAGTAGGAGTGAAGAGATGATTTCTGGGCCCCTGTTTGCTGTAGTAGATCTGCCAGAAAGGAGAGTTTAAGCATGGATGAACATTATCCCTTAGTGAATGAGACAGCAAAGGGAGCGGAAGTTTGTTTGTGTTTGGTGCTCTGCAGGGAGGGGAGCTTGAAGGTGGGCATGTTAATTCTTTTAACCTGCTATGAGCAATATGCTTTGGCCTTGTCATCTTGCATGGCTAGAATAGATGCCTCTTTCACAATCTCCTGGACTTTCTCATGGGTGAAATGTTTTAAAGAAGCATATGCTGGTTCAGGTGCTGTCCCTGCGTGCCCTGTAGAAAAGAGAAATCCCACAAGTCCAGTGTATATTATGTTTACTGGAGGAGCTGAAGAGAGAGTATATGTGTTAATACAAGAATAGGTTTTAGGCTTGCCTATAAGTAAGTAATTACTGTTAAGGAAGTTTCTTAAAGTAGAGGTTTGTAAAGATTTTACTGTACTTTTTTACTTAGAAGTTGTTGGAATAAAACAGATGCCTATTGTATCTTGAGGAATGAGGCACTTTGAACTCTGGTAGACCTACTGCAGCATGTTGAGAATTGAAGGCAAATGTGAAGAAGTTAATGCTGTTTGTCAGAACAATATATCTGAAAAATATCAACTCAGCCTTCAGCTTGCCAGACGGATAGATTGATGATTTTTTTCTGAATAAAGCTGACTAGCATTTTATTGGTATGCTTAATTATTTCATTTGAAACATATGTTAACCTCTCAAATCCACATGATTGGTGAAGAAAATGACTTTCTAAATTTAAAAGAAAGTAATAATTCTATTTCAGATGCATAATTTAGTAATTACACAATTAATCCTAGTCATGGTTTTTCACATGAATCAAATTTGAGCTAATTGATCAAAGTGCAGTGCTTAAACTTGCATGATAATACTGAAACAACAAAGTGTGATGTTGAAATGCGGTGCCTGTATATGAAATAGAAGCATGAAGTGCTACAAACAAATTAAGGAAGATTACACGCAATAACTTCTGTTAGATCTACTGTTGTGTTGCTGCTGCTGCAGAGCTGTAATGGGGAAAGGCCACTTTTAAGGCCTCTCAGTCACAGTACGCTGAGGGACTGCAAACTGTGCAGAAACCTTCAGGCTGTATGCTTGACATGGAATGCATTTTGTAAATATCCAAAGAATTGAAATTGTATTGAGGCGCCTGGGGGTGGAATGTGCTGTATGTAGAAATGTTGAATGCTATTGCACCCTCTAAGTTTCAATTTCAAATATTTAGGTATGTACTTTCCAGAGTTTATGAATAAATGTTGGAATGCTTCATTGCTTAGAATGGGGTCAATTTTCATTGTTTCAAGATTTTGGGGTATTGGTTCAGTTCAAGAATTTGGAACAAGTGTTTTCTTTTGAGTGGCTCCAAGAAAATTGATTTTCTTTTACAACTCGTTTTGATTCTTAATAAAAGACAAAATGAAACACTGCCAATATCATTCATTGTGTTCTTTTCATTGGCCAACTTATTTTAATTTTAAGAATAATTTGGAATTGTTTTCCTATTAAATTCTGTAGTGAATCTCTATCTCAACATTCCCCTTCGGATAGGGGTTTACCTTTAAGACTGAGTTCTGGAGAAATCCTTTACCTTTGAAGGCTTGTGGATGGTTATTCAATGATTGTGTTCAAAATGGAGTTTGGTAGAGTTTACAACAACATTGTGAAGGGAAACCAGGACAGGATATAAAAATGGATGTGATGTAGAATTGCTGAGCTGGCCCAAGGAACGAATTCACCTGCTCCTCCTTTTTTTTCCCTTTTGTGGTCTTCTTTGTATTTAGAAATACAGAAGTACTGTGCTAAAAAATTATACTGCTGCATACTGAGAAATTTTGTTAGTTGCATTGGTGCAGACTGATGCATCCATGTAATTGTAGGCACAAGTGGCATTGGTAACTTTGTTCAGCTGATGGTGAGAAACATGGGAGAAGTAGCTCAAGCTTTTTTCAGGAGGCTTGGGTTCAAGTCCCACCTGCTCCTACAGCGTATAATAACATCTCTAAACAGGTTGATTGAGAAAATATATAGCTCAAGCTTTTAAGATAGACTTAGGCCTCCTAATATAAACTGTAATGAAAGGACTCGGACATGCATAAATATGTTTATGGAATCTTAGAATTTTTGTGAAATGGTTGATGTAAAAATGAGACATGATAAACCTTACTTTTGAATCCTGGGTTCAGCAATTAAATGAGGGGGGGAAAAAAGAGTAAATAACAGTCAAACGATTTTGAGCATTGTGATTGGTTTGTACTTTGTTGTATAACTATGCTTTGATCGAGGCAGACAGAGTTTATCTGATTTTATGAACTGCAGAAAACATTGTATTGTAGAGTTGGGAATTTTTACCTGTGTCAGAGTACTGGAAATGATTGACAGGAAATTCTAGTGTGTTTATATGGCAGTGTGATTTTAATGAAGGACATAATCTGCTTAAAATAATAGTTAAAACAGCCACAATAAACAATTAATGGTCACTTGATGATGTTGGCAGCAATTTGTGTACATGATACATGGGACAAGTTCAACCAAATGACTTGTAATTTCTTTAAACTAAGTAGATTCAAATTTTTTGAATTCTATATTCATAAGCTTATCAGATTTTTAAAAATTAGAGGCATCTTTTTGCAAAAAGAAAGTTTGCCCCACAACTTTGTTGTGGTAACAGACCAGTTTTGTGACTGCTCCCTCATCTGTGGACTTTCACCCCTTTTCCATTTTTATTTCCACAGCCATTGACTTGCTTGTGATGTTTGCTGTGGGTTGTTTGTACTCTTGAATTGGAAACCCAGCTTCACTGGGACTAACAAATAACATCACTATGGTGCTTGTCATCCTCACCCTCAACTACCTTATTTCTGTACGTAGTGCCTTCCAGAGTGTCCTCTCCCTTACTGAAGTATGTCTTTCTAACTTGCTTTCAGATATTGATGAATGTGACAATGACTACAATGGTGGCTGTGTTCACGAGTGTATCAACATTCCAGGCAACTACAGATGTACTTGTTACGATGGCTTTATGTTGGCGCATGATGGCCATAATTGCCTGGGTGAGTAACATCAAATTTCTAGTTTTTTTTTTAGTATGTCGGAGACTTATGGCTCTGTTGGTTGTTAATTTTAGCATTATTCAATGGAGCAAATGCTTGGGAGTATGAAAAATGCTCTTGCATCTGTAACTGTATCTCTCCATCGTACTTTGTCAAAATCTTGATTTGCAGGACTGTTATTTTGAATATGGCAATGAGAATTCTCTATCTCGTGCCCTACTCAAGGAATTTCTTATTTGGTAACTATTGTTGGGCTGTGTCTTAAATTATATTCCGGCTAGTGCATTTTTTGTGAAGAAGAAATTGAGTAAACGTTTCCTAAGTTGCCAACAGAAATGACATTGAGAGAGAACAGATTTGAAAAATCCACCTTGCATTTTAACCTTAATTTGTGACATGTACTGCCTTGGAATGTAATTTACTGCTGACTCTAGACAATGGCATTGCAAAATGCAAATATGAGGAACAAAGTGGGGGAAATAAAAAGATACTTGTGTTAGAGTAGAGGAGATGTAAGGGGTGAGCCCTGAAGATAAAACAGGTTAAATCTCTCCTCTCTGGAGTTGGGAAGGGTATCTAATTAGATTGGGTGGTACCTTGCACAAATCCTGATACATGCCTGTGATCTCTGTCCCTCTGTCCCCACCTCCCGACTTTGGAGAAAACTCTGGGCACACAGGACCACTGTTGACTCTGTCACCAGTTAAGGCTCTTAATTAACCAATTATGGACCACTTAATGGTCAGTCGACTAGTACTGGGATTAATCCATCCCATATGCATAGGAGTTGCTACCCTGCAGATAGCTTTGGGGGAGGGTTTGGGCAAGGAGAAAGGGATCAGTGGATAGGGATATCAAGCAGGGTTATCTGCTGGGAGCCAGTGCTTCCAACTCTCTCCACTGTTGCCTCTCTCCAGCCCCATATCCAAGCCCAGATATCGCTTAGCCCTGCCTCTCCGATCCTGGGGTTGTGAGTTCTCTTCCTGCAGCAGCCACTGTCACCTCCCAAACGTTGCTGAGCGCAAGAACTTGCTCAGCACTGCCTTCAGCCCCTCCCGGGAAAGTGACAGCAGAGTAAGGCCCTGATCCACTCGAGTGAAAGCAAGATCGGATAAAACAGGCGACCAGCATGATACGGTGCAGGGATCAAACTAATTCAGATTTTGGACAGAAGCTGCAGGAATTGTTTACGTGGAGGATTTTGAAAGCATTGGATGGGTTCTGAGTTAATGGCAGCCGAGATGAATACATGATTTGGGATTACACAGGTAGATGGCTGCAAGACAAATGAATAAAGGATATGGAGACACAACTGGTATATATAATTAGGATTATTACTAAAGAATAAATCCTAATGGAGGCTTGTTGGGGCAAATAGCCTGTTTCTGTCCTATAATTTCGTTGCTTTAAGTACCAAACCAGAAAATGTACAGAGAAATGTTAGAAAAGTTTTAGGAAATCCTAGTTGACCACCACCTGTTGTGGTAGTTGAAGGTTTTATTTTTAATCAACCTGTTCCTAAATGTTATTACACACCTCTGGAGCAGATGGCACTTGACCTGGGTCTCCTGGCTCAGTTAGGGACATTAACACTGCACCCCAAGTGCTCCTTTTTAGTCACATGGTACAATGATAATGGTGTTGATTAATCAAACTAAATGGTTATCAAGTAATTCACAACCTGTTAAGATTGGGGAAAACAAGTTCCAGAGATCATAAACTGAGAGCCATGGGTCCAATGTTGCCTCATTGCTTTTAAACATGCTGCAACTACCACAAACAATGTCTCTAATTACACATAGATGAAATGCCAAAATTTTATATGATCTGAGCTTGGATTCTGGAGTGGGGCTTGAACTCAAACATTTAGTTCAGAGAGATGATCGACAACCAAAGCCAAACTGTTAATTACAAATGGCTCACTTGCTATTATCTCCCTTTTACCACCAGTGTGTGCTTACATGTAAAATTGTTTTCTGGGGCTCTGCAGAATTGTGATAACGAAGTGACATTGAAAAATTGAAAATAGAACACCTTTGTTAATATCAGTGCAACACCAATTTCCAAACAAGCAGACAAGTTTGACATTAAACGTGGATGTAATACCAACTGAAGCAGGTCACATATCAACTTGGTTCCTTCGAAATCAAGGTTGTCATCGGTTTTCAGGAAAGCAGCATGACCAGTATGAAATGAGGTGGTTTGTTCCCAGCATGTCACTTGCTGTATTGAAGGTAGTGGAACATCCCATTGTAACCAGAGGAGCCAAATGCAATAGTGCTGTTCCACAAATTTGAAGGAAGTCAGGCTTGAACCCAGGCCGCCTCATTCCAAGGTAAATAACACTTGTGGTGGGGCACAAATGCCCTGCTGTCAGCCAAATCCAGTTACTTGCGTCAATTGAATCATCAGTTTCCACTCCAGCTTGACACACAACCTGGTGTGATTTAGAAATGAACTGTTAAAATTGAGAGACAAATCTGGAGACAAAAACTTACAAAAGTTTTTTTGTTTATCGGTCAGTACAGTTGTAACCAGGATTACACAGACGGCAAAGAATTCTAAAATGGTTCATTGGAACTTTGAAATATAATTTTAAGCTTTGTCTTTTTATTAGCGATAAACATGAAACTGATATCTTTGAGCAAAAGATTGCATATTCATAACAGCACAGCTTTCTCCGTTAGACTGTGGGGTGGACGTTGTAGTGTTCTTCAGTTCTGCCAGCTTGATGGTTTATAGCAGTTTTGCCATGATGGTAAGCACTGTTAAACAATGGTTTAAAAAATGTAGTACTGAGGAGAATCTGACTAAGTTTAAATACCAATTACCATTGCTGTTTTAGTGCTAAATAATCCAACTAGGATACATTTGATCCTGCATGCCCAGCAAGGGGCTGTGCTCGAAAGGATGTTATGGCTCAGTCTTTTGAGTGAAGCTACTACTAGGAGCACAGGATCAGTGAATATATCCTTTTTTTAGAAAAAAAATATGATTTGCAATGCCTATTATTTCTATAGAACAATTCCCCTATGAGAAATTCTTCAAAGGTAACTGATTTCTTCGCTGAAATATTATCCTTTCTCCCTTTGACATATCAATAGCTATCATGACACGAGATGTGAACTAGATAAGTTAAATTGGCAATGCAAAACTTGGCCAAACTCAATCTGGCAGTGTCAAAATCCGAATATTATATACAATGGAAAGTACTGTAATGGAGTCCAATTTAGGATCCGCCGTTGTTCACTTTGGTTTTCCATATCTTCAGAGATCGGATTTGTCTTTTGACAACTACTTGAGGCAAGTCCAAATCCTTTTTATTGGCAATTGTCCATTTCACAAATTAAGTACTCTTACAGTGTCTTTAATCTGTACTGAATCAATATTCTAATACAGGGGTTTTCTAGATTTTTGCTCCTGAGGTTAACCTTTATTTGTAGGAATATTATAACAATTTTTTTCAGAATGAAAATTAGTTATGAAATTCAAGATTTATAATAGGTTTCGTTTAATACTTACTTAATTTGTTGTTGGTATGGAGGCATCTTTGACGTGTATTCTTTTCAATGTTTAGTATTCATCCTGGCTTTTTTTTAAAATCCATGTCACGACTGAATGCAGGCTGTGTTCTGACAGAACCTTCCAATTCCTCAGAAATTAAAGTCCAGCATTCACCCAATGCCAATTCAGTTGGGAACAATGTGTAACTTTAACTTATAGTTTGTTTTGTACGTCCACAAGATAGTTTTACTGCCTTTTTTGTTTGCTTCCATGCTTTGGTAACGTTTTATTTGCCTTGCATTGAAGTAATGGGGTCTAGCTGTACATTATATTAGTTCTTTAAAAAAGGTTTCTTACATAGTGACAGGGGTCCAGTGGCGCGCACAACCACAAAAATCTCCTCTGTCTAGGAATGCCAGAGAGAGATTGCTGGAATCTGAATTAAAAAAAATGTTTTCTGCACCTTTTTTTTTTTTAAACAAATGTAATTCTCCTTCAATTCCTCCTTCCTAATAGTCCCTTTCTTCCCTTACATTTTGGGGTTGTTATTTGTGCTAACTAAACTGGTTGTTTTAACTGCTCTGCCATTTCCTGTTCTCCATAATCTGCTGTTTCAGGTTGTAGGGTGCCTACATTTTCTTCTTACTTTGTAGAAGCTCTTAAAGTCTGCTTTTATGTTCCTTGCGAGTTTACACGCACAGTTTATTTTCTGTTCTTAATTAACTTCTCGGTCCTCATATGCTGCATTCTAAACTGTTCCTTGTCTTCCAGTCTTGCTACTTTTTGAACACAGTATTCTAAAAGTGGCCCAACCCATGTCCTATGCAGCTGGAAAATGACATTCCAGTTTCTATACTCAATGCACTGACCAATAAAGGCAAGTGCTCCAAACGCAGCCATCACTACCCTGTCTGCCTTCGACTCCACTTTCAAGGAACTATGAACCTGCACCCCAAGGTCTGTTTTTTTTTTTTTTTTTTGTTTGGCAACACTCCACAGGATCTTGGCATTAAGTGTATAGGTCCTGCCCTGATTTGCCCTACCAAAATGCAACTGAGGGTAGTAGGTGCCTGAAACCCGCTGTTGGGGGAGATCATAGAAACAGATATATTAGCAACATGTAAGATGTATTTGGACAGATACATGAGCAGGCAGAGAACAGAGGAAAAGGATTCGATGGGGATTAGTTTAGAATGGCATAATGGTGGGCTGAAGGTCCTGTTCCTGTGTTGTACTGTTCTATGTTCCATATATAGCAAGTTATTTAGAATGCTCGTGGAATGTTCATCTTTATTGTAGAGGATTGGAGTAATGAAGAAGTAGTGAAGTCTTGCTTCATTTGGCAGGTCACACCTGGAGTACTGTGTGCAGTTCCCATCTCTTTATCTTGGGGAAGACGATATTGCCATTTGAGGGAGTGCAGTGAATATTCACCAAGCTTGTTCCTGGAATGGTGAGACTGTCCTATGTAAAGAACATGAGCAAATCAGGCCTGT